TCACATTCTGAAACAGGATGAACCAGGACTTACGGTCTCCAGACTGGAAGCCATGAGGGGCTGTGGTCTGAAACACCACGTTGGTGCTGTCGTATTCGAAGACCTCTTGCAAGAATGTTGGGGCTGCAGCAAAAGCCACAGTCTCCAAGAACATTCTCACCTGCTTGTACTCACTGCCCAGCATTGGTCTGCGGTGGTAGGGCACCTTCCCCCCGTACTTGTGCACCGTGACGTCCCGGTGGTACGCCGGTGCTGGCAGAGGACCCACCACGTACTCGGTGACGTTGGGGTCCGGTTGGTTCCCGAAGTACAGCACAGCCAGCGCCTCTCGTGGGGGCCGAGCCCCCCCACCGTCCAGGAAACGCAGCACCTCTGCCTTGGGGGGCACCTGCAGATCCACGGACGCGATGCAGTTGTCTGACGGTTTGGCACGTGAGGCGTCAACCAGCTGCACCCCGAGGTTTCCCTGCAGGTACTGCACCACTTGCTCCAGCTCCTGGGGGGTCAGGTCGGCAAAGACCAGGCTCTGGGTCACAGATCCCGTTTTCTCCACCACTTGGGGCTGGGATTCACAGCTGGGCGATCGCCTGCCTCTGCTCAGTAGTACACAGGAGAGGATGAAGATTATCACTGCAGCCCCGACAAGAAGAATGTAGGGAAGTTTGGGGTTCATCACTCCAAGAGCACTGGCAGCATGCAGGGTTTGGCTGAAGCATCCAGAGTAGGTCTCTCACCCACAGACCAGGCTCTTTATTCAGTCGTGACTGTGGGCGTAACGGCGATGCTTGTGAGGTGAGGAGGGACCTGGAGCTTGCATGGGGCTCCAGGTGGATATCACAAGTCCCAGCCAGTTTGGCCTGTTCCCTCCCCACCCCAGACACACCAAAGGAGTCAGCTGGAGCCAATGCCTGACTCACTAAGCCACAGATGGATTTCTCTGCTGCAGGGTGACACCACAAAGAGCCCTGTCTCGTCTGCCCTCGGGGCCTTTTCTTCTCCCAGGATGATCTGTTCCCACCTCCTGTGGGAGTGCAGCGATGCTGCAGGGGCAGGCAGGACCAGCCTGGTCCTTCTGCACCACTGTGTCCCAGGACCAGCCCTGCTCCCCTGCAAGACCAATCTACGCTGCCACGCCATGAAAGGCCAAGACCCACCAGCTCCCCAGCACCTACACCTGCCAGTTCTTCCTGTCACTGTTCTCTGTGGCTTCCAAATCCCTCCCAGCCCTGAAGGAAGGGACCTGGAAGCTTCAGCCTGGCTTCAGCTGCAGGCAGACCAGAGTCAGCTCCCTGGTGAGAACAGGCAGCACATGCCAAACCACTGGTAGCAAGGGACAGGCAGCACCTGCAGCTGCTGCACCAGGAAGAGGCAGACGCTGCAGGCTGGCTAACAGGACATGTCTGTTCCCACTCAGCCATCCCAGCCCTGCTCCAGCAGACATGATCCTTGCACCAGAGCTGTCACAGACAGAAGTGGTGCCAGGCAGCTGCTCCCACATGGCCACCAGCTCCTGCGAGGCTCATGCATGGCGCCTGGCCTCACAAAAGGCTGCAGTGACACACCACCAGCAGTGAAGACAGCTTTCCAGAGATCAGCTTTCCAGAGATCAGGTCCACCACACACCATCCTGGTGGGGACAGTCCGAGGCACAGGCAGGAGGGGCTAGGCAAGGGCTGGAGCCACCACAGCACCAGAGCAATTTACTCCATTTGCAAATGTTAATCTAGGAATTATGTTTTCATTCTCACTTACAGCCAGGGAATAACTGTCCTTTTTCCCTGCAAGTCCCACACCAGCCTCAGATCAGGCTCCAGGAACCTGTGTGTGGGATGACCCACTTTTGCTGTGGCACAGTTGTGCCCTCCCTGCACTGGAAGGTGAGGATCCTGCAGGCACCTCTCAAGCTCCCTGCATGGCCCCCAGCCCCCTCGCCCAGGACACGGCTCCCCCCTCACCGAGCAAGTCTGGGATGGTACACAACTCTTCTCAAGAGTGTTTTGCAGCACTTAGGGCTGAGGATTAGTAAACAGAGTGGGGCACCAAGGGCCACTGCAGCCACGGAAAAGGACCATGCCACCCCTCAGGAACTGTATTTTAGCAAATTCTCAAGCCTTGCTTACAGCAAGTAATCAGTATCAGCCCTGATTGTGACTGTAATAGCAGCAGCAGTGCCTTTCAAGGCCACACAAACCCCTGCATTGCAGGTGGGTACATGAGAGGACAGTGCCAGGACCAAACGCTTGCCCTGAAGTCAGCTGCAGCTTGACCAGCGTAGTGCTGAGGTTACTTCCCACAACCCAGGAGAGAGTCTGGATCCTTGGGGCTGCATTTTACCTTGAGCTGGTTCAGATGCAGCCACTGCCTACCAGAGACCTCTTGGGTCCTGTGCGGATGTGAAACATTTCTCCCCCACCTTTTATAGGAGCAGGTTTTAATGACAGACACCGAGTGTCCACCTGTGTCCCCTCTGCCCCCACACCTTCCTGACTGTAGAAACTGGAACAGACTTTCAGGGGAAACAAAGCTTCCCCTGAGTCTGAGCATCCCTGGGCTCCCAAGGGTGGTGCCATCTCTTTGCTTGTGAGCAAGGGGCTGCTCCTGGACTCAACATCCCTCTGCAGAGATCCACTACCACACTGTAACTGCACATGGGAGCAGGGGAACTTGCTGGGTCACTGCAGTGACTTTGCAGCCTGAGACTCAGGACCCACTGCTCAAGAATTTCCTCAAGAGAGAAGGGGGATAGAGCTGCAGGAGCTCAGCCCCACAGAGCACCAAGACAGCTGCCCTGCTTTACACAGAGCAGTAAGACACCAAAAGGACTTTCCCAAGGGACAAGAAGCGCCAGGACCAGCACCAGGCGCCACAAGAGCAGCTCAGAGCGTTCATACACAGACAGGGCCGACTCCCTGTCTGCCCGGCCGTGCCTATGGCAACACATGCTGTGCCAGATGGGAGGCCTCAAGGAAACACAAACATTTTTCAGCTGCCACCTTTCATACTTTCCCTGGGCTGAACACAGAGCTCCCAGAAAATTCCCACTGCCTTCAACTCAGTGACCTTGACAGACTGTTTTATACACAGAAAAATAATATAGCAATGAAAGAAGAGGTAAGGAGAAGGAAAAAGTTGAGTTCTGATGTCAGTTATTTGGGACTGTAAGGACAAAGAGGAAAGCTCCAGAGCTCTGGGGTTTATCAGTACAATGGCAGGCATTAAAGGAAGATCCAGACCTACCTCCCACATCCAAGTCCACTTTACAGTTGATGAAGTGGGTGTGTATCGTACCCAGCGTGTGCTCCCAAAGCCTGT